TAATAAAAAATATGTATAGGTGCTCAATAGGTAAATCATTTTTAAGGTATTCTACATTTTACGTTAAATTTTATTTGCCACTATTCAATATTTATTTATTGGTATAAGAAAAATTTACTAATTTATAAAAGGAATATCACTTTAAAAAATGTTTTAAGACTGTTTTAGACTACACAAGTTTTTGATACAATTTCTTGTACAATTTAAATTGTATATTATCAAACCTGCAGTAAATTGTCTGAAAAATTAGACTGGATAATCATTTTTCAAATAATTTACTATGTGATCCTATATAATTTAAATTCTATAAAAAATTGTATCAAATCTTGTACAAGCCCTACTCCACTGGTTCAAATGAAAACAACATATCTTAACCTAAAAATACTTACCGATGAAACCATACATTTCGACTTAAATTATCTACCTTTTTGAACACTATACATGCATGTACCATAATTATATTTCTCACAAAAGTTCACAAAAATAGTATATTATAAATGAATAAATCAATAAGTCACACAGAAACTGTCAGATATTGTCAGAAATACAAAATAGCTGTTATACCTGATTGGCAACGTTGCGGCTGGTTACGGTGCTACATTTCATTCATAAAAATTGTAAATTTGTAAAATAAGATATTCAGCGTTGCCGTATTTACGGAGTTCTTCGAAACCCTAATATTTTGTTTAGATTAATATTGATTTTTTAATAAAAAATTTAGCTTATATTAAAACTTCAAAGAATAATTTGATTAAAAACATATTTTTATTTATATAATATACAATTATAGTTACAGGACACATCAAATTTTATTTTTCGAAAGTAATTTCTCCAAATATTTTTGACAGACTGATAAAATCGGCAAAGACGCAATAAACGAGAATCTGGTGGGAATAATGATTTGCCACATAAAAATGTAAACAATTTGGTCTCTTAGTTGTAATGTCTTTGCTATAATCCCAATTTTCAAATTCCTACCTTTAAAAAATCGATACTTCCATACAATTTTTTAACCCCCGTTTCCCCCTTTAAAATGTAAAATTCAAAAACTCCGAAACACTCATTATTTATTTATGCTCAGTAGCTTTATTTTAAATGTTTATGTTTCACTACCATTATGCAAAAAATAATGTCTGTGAAAAACGAAAACAAATTTATCCCACAAGAACCGTATATTTTTCCGGAATAAAAAGCTATTCCAGACTATAGTCTATCTTTGTAACAAATTTTATCCAGATCCGTTTAGCCGTTCTTGCGCGATTGAGAAAAAAATATCCATCCATACATCCGAACTTTCGCATTTATATTTAGTCTGTTCGCTATACATACGCGGGTTTCGGAAAAAAAATGTTATGAGTATTTCCAGGTTAAGTACCCGAAAGTTTGACCTGTTCTTTGGGGAAATATCAACTGGTTAATTGAAATGAAAAATAATGTACAACTTTAAATTAAATTTAAATAATAATGGAGAATCTTTTGTATAATTGAGAACAGAATTAAACTTCTTCATTAATGGAGTCTAATGTGGTTATTATAAACCTAATAATAATTTTATATTACACTTCACACAGAAAATATGGTCTATGTATAATAAGAGGGTTATTTAGCTCAAATAAAATATTTTCTAACATAAAAATTTGTTCCATGTAGAGAATTTCAAATGAAAAATAAAAAATATTGAAATTGCCAACAAAAATGAAAATCAATCATTATCATCCAAAATATCATAATCGTCATCATCATCATCACTGTCATCACCATTAAATTGTTATTATGATTGGACTTATTTCGTTTATTTTATTTTCCACCAATCTTCTATTAGTTTCTCTCGCACTTGGATATACAAACTGCCGCCACACTTCTGGAGTTGCAATTGAAAGTGCTTTTCGCCAAGTTTCCCGAACTGCGTCGTCACTATAACCATTATGCCCAATATGGTTGTCATAATATTGTTTTACTATTCCCCATATATATTCGATGGGATTAAACTGGCAATGATACGGTGGCAGACGTAAAACTTGATGACCGTAACTTTCAATAATCTGATCCACAACAAAGGTTTTTGGTTTTGCGTGTGTATTTGTCAAGCGTAATAATTCTGATTTTAATATATATTGAGGAAATGGTATATGTTCCTTTGTCAACCATTCTTTAATTTTATCAACAGTCCAAGAATTCATTGGATTTTTGTTTAATACTTCAGAATGGTAAGGTTCATTGTCTAAAATAATTACGCTGGGCTCACTTAAACCTGGGAGAAGTTTTTCATGCAACCATTTTACAAACATTTCTGTGTTCATATTATCGTGATAGTCACTGGATTTTGATTTAGATGAAAATATTAAATCAGCACCTTCTATAAAACCCAATTGCCCTCCTGCATGTAAAATTATGTGTCGCTTAACTTCTCCATCGGTATGTTTGATGGACTTTACGTTATCATCTTGCCATATTCTCTTGGTTGCACCCTTAGAAAATATCCGTGTTTCATCTAAATATATAAAATTCGCCCCTTCGTCTTTAAATTTAGAATATTTTCTTAGAAAGTTAATTATCTTGTGCACGACAGAACTTCTTTCACAAAGGGCCTTTCTGTTATCCTTTTGAAATTTGAAACTCAAATTATGTATCACTTGCCATAGAACTTGTTCTGCCAATGTCAAATTTTCTATCTATTAATTCCGAGAGAATTGTATTTAAGGTCACATGTTCCTTGTTGACCCTCATTCGATAAATGGTATCACGATTTTTAAATATTTTTCCATCTGGAATATCTTTCGTTTTCAATGATGGGCGAGTTTCGGTAGTTCACTATTGTGATTTTGTAATACTCCTCTTAATGTGGTTTCACTAATTCCTAGAGCATCGCATACGCGTTGTTGTACAGACATTACCGATTTTAAAGGACCGCCATTTTCTTTTTCATCCGTAAAATACTTATGTACACTACAAATTAGACTATCTACATCTAACACACGTCTAGGCATTTTTAAAATTTCCACTAAATTTACAATATACATACAATGTCAACACTTGCAAAGAATCAATTCAACTGCAATATTTGTAACAAATTTGGTACCTACCCTAATGTTATTTTAATTTAAATCTGACCATTATGGCAATTTTACCTAATTTCTTGGGAAGAAGCTTATTGGAACTGGTTGTCAATGACTAATTTGCATAATTTTGTTAATCCGAAACCCGCGTAAGTATAGCGAACAGACTGTAGTATGATTCCTGAAGATTTATTCTTATCTACACCAGATGTAGAGTAGAAAAGTAGTAGGACCTTTATTGCTGGTAAAATCAGCCGCATATACTCGAAGGCCGCAGACTGCAGTACCGTCAGCTACAAACGGATTAGAATTACATCACGGGGGTCCAACGATGTATGAGGGTGGATCAATAAGTACCCGTGTTTGAAGGTAGGTGGCGTTGCTGAGATGCTGAGGGAAGTTGGCATTACTGTCGTGTACTGTCATCTATCACACGACACCATACCAAATTTCAAACTGATTCATAGGTTGGTTTTTATTTGGCAGCCACTTGTACCATACGTGTTTCGCATTAATCGATAAAATGGAAAAAGAACAATATCGATCCGTAATTCGCTTTTCATTTTTGGATGGAAAAACATGCGATGAAATAAAAGCATAGATGGATGCTGTCTATGGGGACCCTTCACCATCTATGACAACCATAAGATATTGGTTCAACGAAAGGAAATCGTTAAAAAGGTCCAAGACATGATTGTCGCAGATCGCCGAACAAAAGTACGAGAAGTAGCAGAGGCCGTAGGCGTATCATACGGAACGAAAATTAATATTTTGCATGATAAGTTAAACATGAGAAAGGTATCGGCCCGATGGGTGCCGCGATTGCTTACGGTGGACAACAAGCGGATTCGGCTGTCAATGTTGAAGCAGTGTTTGGAGCTCTTTAATCGAAATTCACAGGAGTTTTTGCGTCGAGTCGTCACCGTTGATGAAATCTGGATACATTATTATACGCCAGAGACCAAACGACAGTCGAAGCAATGGATTTTTCGGGGTGAATCTGCTCCGAAGAAAGCAAAGACGATCCCATCGGCCGGAAAGATCATGGCCACGATTTTTTGGGATTCCAAGGAAATAATCCTCATCGAATTTTTGCAGAAAGGAAGTACGATCACAGGGCAGTACTATAGTGAATTATTGGACCGATTCGATGCAAAATTGAAGGAGACACGGTCTCATTTGGCTAAGAAAAAGTCCTGTTTCACCACGATAACGCATCGAGAATTTTCGCGGTCAAATTGCAAGAAATGCAGTACGAATTGCTGCCGCACCCACCGTACTCGCTCGACTTGGCTCCATGCGACTTTTTTCTGTTCCCCACCATGAAAACGTGCCTCGGGGGAAAAATTCAGCTCTAACGAGGAGGTTATCGTCGAGACAAGCGTATTTTGCGAGAAATCAAATTTTTTGGAGGGGTTAAATAAATGGCAGAAACGTTGGGAAAAGTGCATAGAACTAAAAGGAGATTACGTTGAAAAATAGAAATATTTTTTTTTAAACACTTGCCTCTTCCTTTCAAACACGGGTACTTTTTGATCCACCCTCGTAAAAAAAAACCAGATACGAGTATTTAAAAAAATAAACTTTGGCATGCTTCAGGAATTGCTTATTTAATTACAGAATTTGTTCCAGTTAAATTTTGCACTCTGTATATAGATGAATTGTTACAATATAATTAAAAACACAATGGAATGACACCTACGTATATACAAATGTCATCTACTCTATAGATATAAATTTATTTCAATATTTTTCAGTAGCCAGCCTAAAGTATTGACAGTGAGGAATATTAAACTATTCGTTCAAATTTGACGTAAAGCCTACTTTAATTCAATTTAATCAGTAGAGGCTGTTAAAAAGTTACATAAAAGAATTGCCTGTCTTGTAATATATTAATTTAACTAATTGTCTATCTTTACTAAAAATTGTTCTTTTTTTGCAGAAATGGGTTTTATACTGTACTCAATGGGATTTTTAGCCTTTACGGCTATATTATGGAAAGTGAGCTCAGCTGCGAGATACGTGCTAAAATTCGTAATTTTTGCGGTTTTGAGTATATTTTTTGCCTGTCTTCCTATACCTTATATGCTGCTCCACCCCAGGGATAGCAGAAATGCTTTGTAAGTATAAAACAAAAAGTTGTAATTTTGAGTTAAATTTTCTTGCACTAGATGAAGTTGTCCCTGTTCCGGACACCTAAGGCTTCTCCTTTTTTTCGAAATGTGATTTATAATGTAAAATTTGCGCTGAGAGACAACAATGTTACTCAAAAGTTGTCAAACTTAGTAGTTTAATAAGAATTTGATTCTATATTTTAATTTTAAAAACTGTCCCCTGTACCGGGCACCAACATGTTCCCAATATCGAACGATATATTCTGACTTAGGTTAGGTTAAAAATGAGTGGGATGATCTCATCACTTTCCATGTCATTGTGGCTCATAACTAACTTATAGTTCACCATATAAGCCACACCTTTTGATGAAGGCCATGGTTGAATTGGGTGAGACTTGTTTAAAGTCGGTAGGCTCCAGTCGGGTAAATCCGATGATCTGGAAGCTCCAGAGCAGAGCAGGTACATAAAATATGCTCTGCAGACTCGTCCTCCACGCTGCAGAATCGATAGTCCGATGTTTATTACAAACCTATCATTCTTATGTGGTTGCCCAGACATTAGTGTCCTGTCATCAGTCCCTTGATGCGTAGATCTTTCCTAATCCATTCTCGGATCTGAACAGAGGCGTTCATAGAAGGCCAACTTTGTTCTGGCTGTCCGTTAAAGTCCCTTGTCCCACCAGACGACAGAGCCGTACGTAACCATGGGGTTTCCTCTGTTTTGTAAATCCAGTAGTTCAGTTGAGGACTGATCTCCTATGCTTTGCCGCATATCCTTCTAAGTGTCCAGAGGGATAGTTTGGCTTGTTAATGGTTTTATCCAATTGGGAATTCCAGGGAGAATGTCCGAAAACAAGCACATGGGAAGACTTTTATAGGAAGACCGTATCCAAAAAGAACAGGTTACCTCAGTGCCGGATTTATATTTTTTATGAGTGTAGGCCACTTTATTTCTACCGCCCTATGTACCTTTCTAAAATAATAATTTTCCATTTGTAGTAAGGCACTAAAGTTAAATAAATGTATGAATTATTCATTAAAAAAGAGCGTAAAAAAGTAACAAGAATTACAATTTTTACGGGACTTTTTAATAGCAAAATCATCATCATAGTTTATGGTGTTCCATTATCTCTGCTTCTATATAGAGAAGGACTAAAGAATTCATTTTTTCTTCAGATAATGAAGACCTTTCCACATAGCACATGGACGTCTTATGAGGGACGTCCTCTTTTGGTACCGGGACGTCAATCGGACGTCTAATGGACGTCCTAATGTCCCGTTTTCGTCCATCTTAGGGCCATCCCAAAAGGACGTCATAGGGACCTTTGCTGGACGTACTAGGGATGTAAATCAGATGCCCGAGGGACGATATTTGACCATAATCCATAAAGGATAATAATAACGAAAATGTTAACAATAAAAGGACTTTATTTAACAACTTTTATCCTGAAGAAACTAGCTAGAGTTAAACGTTTTCAGTTTACAAGAAAAACATGAATTAATTAAATTTAACATACAGCGCTGGTAAGATGAAACCTTGGGTCCTACTTATAGCTTGTGTCGACATAACTGAGTTTTATAATTTTGTCAAAATTATTTTTGTTCCAACTTTCCGCCATTAAGGTCTGTTCTTACCGTCAGCGGCTACCGCCAATACACATAACTTATTCTCACCTCAACACAAAACACTCACTTCGATTTATAACCTCTGTATTACCAACATCAAAAAAATAACGAATAACACTATATAACCTTTTTTCTTCGTTAATCTAATTCACTTATATAAGGTAATTATTTAATGCCGAAAATTGTAGCTCTTGTTGTTCATTTGAAAATAAATGATAGGTTAGGTTTTCTGTCCTCATACTCTTGCAAAAACAAAACGTTGAATTTCAAGTTATCGATTTAAAGACCAACGATGCTAGTACATAGAAAGTCCCATAGATGTCCCATGGACGTCCCATTAACGTCCTGTTCTCGGACCGAAAACCAAACGATTTGCCGAAACGGGACCAAAATAGGACGTCCAGAGGACGTCCATCGAAGGACGACCTAGCGTTCACGGTAATCGGAAATCCAGTGGACGTCCTATTTAGGTCCGGGACTCACTGGACCAACAAGGGACTAAATCAGGACGTCCATGGGACGTCCTGTGCTATCTGGGTTGATAATTTTACACGCGTTTTGAACAGGAAAAACTCCTTTCCCAAGAACAATTTATAGCCGGAGTGGAAAGTGCGACGCGGAGAGCTATATTCAATTTAGGGTAAACATTAGACACAGATTGATTTCTCAAAAACGTTGAGAGACTGAGTATTGAGTTTGATACAGGCTTCACTGCACACTCTGCAGTTTTATTAGAGGAAATGTGACTGTGAAAATGCACATATTCTTGAACCAAATCGACGTAATATAGATAAACTAGGTACAATAACAGTAGGTACCTAGGATTGATAATTTTCGATAGGAATGAGTTTCTATAGGGATTTAACGTATTAGTAAAAAAACCATGAGAAAACCAGTGAACTTGTATGACTTTTATCCTCTGAAATCGAGTGAGCGTCCTTTGAAATCTGCCGCCCCTAGGGTGCTGCCGCCCCTAGGCCGCGGCCTATTGACAAATCTAGGACTGGGTTACCTACTCTCCATGAATAGGAACCTAATAGGACTCATAACTGGGCATGCCTCAGTAAAGGGGGACCTGAACAAAATTGCCGTGTATATTGGAGACCTATTGTGTCGACTCTGTCACAAGGAACCAGAAACAGCCAAACACATACTGTGCGAGGCATTGGATCGCAAAAGACAGGCACTTTTTGAACAACCACAGGTTGATCCAAGAACCTATAGAACACAAACTATTAAGGACAAGAGGACTAAGGTGATAGAGTGGGTACTATGAATTAATATGGGTCAAATGCAATAGGACATTAGGCATCAGTGTTATTGGAGACTAAGTCAGATCAGTCATAGACATAATATGAGTGAAACTATACAGAATATAGAATAACTGAATATTCTCTGATTAAAAATAGGATGATTAAACGAAACATGCTTAGATAAAATGTTAGTCGTTTCCGAAATACAAGATGTTAAATTTGAAAATTCGCAAAAAATTTAATGGCTAATTTTTGTATTATTCTACACTAAACTTATCAGACATCACACTATTAACTGCTTGTTTTATGTCTGCTTCATTCCATATTTAGCATGCTTTCTATAATAGGAACCACCCACCTTCAATTTTCGTTTATTTAATGTCCGATACTGGTAATAGTAGCAGTGTCTGGTGCAATTTACAAATATTTACTAATAAGAGAATAATTTGACTCATTTCTGGGTATCCTCAAATGACGTAAAATTTTAGGTAACCTATCAACAAATTATTAAACTAACAAAAAAAAATTAAATGAAACTTAGTAAATGAGGCGCTATTATTCAGTATATGAACGAGTCAATCGAAACTGTCCAGTTCTGGGCACTGTTAGCCGCTAGGGCAACTTCTCCTATACGCACATTTTCTTAATTACAAAACTAATATTTAAATTTTAACAATTCTGTGGTCGGCGCTTAAAAAGTAATAAGTCGATATTACACATTTTTGGAGAATGGCGCTGGAAAATTTTGGGACACATCAATAAGGATTTTTAGAATCCAAATCGACGATCTTTTTAGGAGATTTGGTCCTGTAAAAATTAAAAAATCTGTAGACATACTTTGTTTTAACTATTTTATGATACAAAATTTGACTGTTTATGTTTAATTATGACGTTTTGCCTTCTGCGGTTACCCTTGTACTATTATATATGTTTTTTGTACCTTATTTTTATTACTTTAAAACGTATTTACCGGGTGTTCAAATTAAAGTGTTACAATTAAATACTTTTTTTATAAGAAAACGTTTCAGACGAAAGTTTTATATGTTTTTGGGGTAAACATTTTGGGTAAAATCTTTTTTTATAGCTAACCATAATATGACCAACTTTTTTTCGCGCAGCACAATTTTCAAATAGGTGTTACTCAATAAGTAAAAGTTCAGTAAAAAAATGCTTTCCTTAAAAGTTTCTTATTTTTTTATGAATATTGAGAATATGTAAAAAAAGAATGGGGTTCCCATTTAAAATAAAAAAGTCCACCTCGATACGGCCATATTATGGTCAGCTATAAAAAAATAAATTTTGCCAAAATGTTTCCCCCCAAAAAAACAATAAAACTTTTGTCTGAAACTTTTTTTTATAAAATGCATATTTTTGGCGGTATTTAACTGTAACACTTTAATTTGAACACCCGGTAGACTTGTATCCTTTTAACTGCCTAAAATATACACTCTTCTAAACGTATCTTGACTAAAAACTCAATTTACGTAAAAAACGACTTATGACCTTTTAAGCGCCGGTCACAGAATTATAATACAAAATAAATTTATAAAAAATTCTCTTAACTAGAGAAATTTGCTAAATGGTAAGGGAATTTGGTAGGGTTTACAAAATAAATTGAAGATTAAAAATTCTTGAGATATTATTGAAATAGGGCATATAACAATGAAAATTACATATAGACTGTAGTGAACATTTTCGGCTTAATAGAAATATATTTTATCATATTTCCCGATGCTTTTTAACAGTTGCTAAACAAACAAAATTATTATCAATCGGTACCAAAAATGATTTCAATAACATTTTGAACTCCTGTGAACTTTCGATTGAAACAAATCTATTATTACATTTTTTCATATAAAGTACGCTAAATTGTCTTGTAATTGTTTATAACTTTTATGGGAATAAAATCAAACACCTGTTTAGGTAAATTAGGAAACGTATATTGAATAGAAAAATACTTGTAACCACCAATACTTTAGTGACAACCGACAACTTACTTTTCTAGACAGAATGACAGTGACAAGACTTTTGACAGTTCACTTACTTAGTAGGTTGTGCAGCAACATATTTAACTATGTTAAGGTAAGGGATGATTAAGCCCAATAAAAGTCATTAAACCACCAAAAC